GGTGTCTGTGACTTGTTGGTGATAAATTTCAACAATAAATGGACAACACACAATTGTTTAAAAATAATATATATTCAAAACAAGTCAAACGTACATCTACAGTACTATTACACGCTAAGTTTGCACAGTTTATTTCAAGGCAACCATACTCCTAGTAGTTGTAAATCGGCTATAATAAAAAAGCTATGATTGCTAAACTTTTCCTCTGCCATTTGGCAGCAACCAGTAAGCAAATGTTAGAACCAAAAACCAGAGACAGTTGAAATTGGTTGGACCAATAAGAATCAGTGATACATCACACAATAGCTCTCTTCATGCCCTACTTTGATCATAGTGATTTCATTAGATCCAGAAGAGTTTTATATTTGAAAACTCACAACAACCATTTATGACTATTAGCCACAGCATTTGTAGAAACAAAGCCGTACAATAAACCGTGTGGTGCGTATTACATAATACATAAACCAATATATCTATGTTTCTGCCCAAATCCAACCAACAGCATGTCAAAAAATGATGAATTGGAGTTGTAAACAGATATGTTGGTTTGGTAACAGTCTGCTTTACATCATATCATTGGGTGTAAACAAATGATATGTTGACTTTGTAACAATTTGTTATACATCATATCATTAGGTGTGATTAGAGCAAAAGAACGTGTATTACAATAGTATATGATAAAAGTGGTATGAAAAATGGAAGTTTCATTTGTATATTAAATGAGTGTGTGATTTTTATAGATATATATTTATATATACATATAGAAGATCAGTTAGTAATAATCACAACTGAATACTACAACTCTAAGTTATAGATGTGATACAATCAATGTCTGTATTAAATTGAAATAAACTAGCTCACAAAACTGAATGTAGGCTATTAACTTGATGTATTCTATGCATATTTATGAATAATTATGCAAACAACTTTAGTAAAGACAGGACAACAGTCTTGAAAATATTTTCCACTTTTGCTTTAAGAATATAATTATTGTTAAAATAAAATTCTGAAATTGAAACTTGTCCATTCCATAAGTAATATTGAAAAACAGACAAAATATGAAAAACATTAATTGTATTGAAGATTTAATAAGACTTAATAAAATATATCATAGAATTGCTAAGAGATAATAAAACTATGACTGAAGGGAATTCTTGTATTACTTTAACAGATAACCTATTCAACGTTGTATCCATGTTAATGAACATAGTCAAAGGTTTGATTAACAAGCATATCAGTATCCAAAACGAAAAGTTTGATAGTTTTGATTTTGGATTATTTTAAGAAAACTTGGAGTTTTGATGTAGAAGAATTGATCAGTCATTTGAAATACAAGTTATTTTGTGTTTATATTATAACTGTCTCTGAGTGAATTCTTTATTCCACATATAAATTCCTTGAGTTGGTGACTCATGTACTTAACTTGCAGCTGCATAACATAGATTTAAAATAAATTCATTTTTAACTTGTGCGAAGTTGAACTCAATGACTACACCTATGGGTCACCGGCTAAATGGTAATGGCTTGATGTGCCGGCAGGGCTTAATTAACAAATTTCACCTGATCACATTAGCGAACACATTATATTAGAAATGACATAATACATTATATTTATAACCATATATTTATAGGATTTTCATACTAGTACTTTTTTATGTAGTGTTATTACCTTCACATATAACATTTCTTTATTAATATCATAGTAATATATTCACACTTATTATTACTAATTTCCTTCATAATTCATAAACAAATGTTTGCTTCCTTCACTTTTGTACTTTGATTAAATATTTGGAAAACTAGAATCTGGAACTTGATGCTATGAATTTACATCAAGAAATGATGTTGAAAAGTGGAGTTTACTACTGGTACATTTCTGTCAATCACGGTATTTCATGTTCAAAACCAATGTGAATACAACATCTCTCCTTTACTTTCAGAGGTACAAAGGCAAGTTTTTACTTCATTTTTAACATTTATTTGTTGACAATTTCTATTTCATTTATCCATATAATATGAATCCATGCATATGAGTTTGAGATTGGTGGATTTTATTGGGACTACATTTATCTTGCCTCGACATTGGTTTCACACTGTCTCAGGTTACCATGTAAAGCAATAATTTGATATCAGTCACTGACATTTTGTTGGCATTGTTCCAGTAAGAAGGTCACGTGATGCAAAAGATCAATTCACAAGTATGATTTCTAATTGTTTTTCATTAATTATTATATACATAATTGAAATTGCAGTGTGAATCTACTAACTGTGAAATCTAATGGTGTATAAATATTTTTTATTTTCATTATTTAAAAATTACTGAAACCCCCTAGTATAAGAGCAAGTAGGAATAGATGAGGATAGTTGAGCTTTTCTTCCAAGAATTCCATCTGTGTCGATTTGTTTTTTTAATTTTACTTGGAATTTATTTCTTTTGGGCTATGTTTCACCTATGATGCAGGGTCTAAGTATACTGTTACAAAGTGTTAAATTTACTGGTCTAAGAAATGCTTAGAATATCAAGACCAAAATTTGATAAATGCAAAGAAAGTGACATCAAAATCAGTGAGAGCGTCCTATATTTGGTTGTCTGTGTCACTAAGTAACGTTCACACTTCACTGTGATATTTTTCAGTGACCAATCAAAGCAGACGAGACTAAGTACTACACCTTAGCATTGGTGGTGGTGATGTGGGAGGTAGTAAGGAGTGGCAAGTGACATTATATGATGCTGACAGTTGAAATTCATATAAAGAAACCTTATAACATGTACAAAGTAATTGGTTCATGCTATTTTTTCTCATAAAACCTTATTCTTTATTTATTTGGTTCAATGTGGTTCTTAGACAAGAAGACTGTACAATAGCTATAAATATTTCTTCAAATTATGCTTATGAAAGAATATTTTCCCAATTGTCGATTATCTGTTTACTTTTATTAGACCATTTGTTCTCTGTATGGTGTAATCACAAGTTCCTGTCCATGGGCTGGTTATCTTGTAATTCTTTCTTGCTAATCCTATGATTGCTGAACCCCCACTTCATTCTTGTTAGTGGCCATTTACAACAATTTGTTTGTTTATTTTTAATCATAAAGCTACTCAATAGGCTATTTGTGCTGTTCTAAACACTGGCATCTAAACCCAATCTTTATAATGAGAACTACTCAGACCAGTGGTGGCTGCAACAAAGAACTTTTTGGGAATTCATTCTTGTTCTAGGAACTCACCTTCATTACATATTTCACTAGTACTAATCTAATACAGTTGTAATTTTCTTTGTTTTTTTGAATGAAATTGTTAGACTAGTAGTCACTGTTACCGAACTTGCATCAGAATAATATTTCTGGAAATCTGAAATTTTATTTCTGAACATAGATAAGATCGTATACCTTAAATTCATTTTGTTTAGATTTACTATATAAATCTTAACACTTTCACATATACCTATAAAATAAATAGATACATTACTTCAGAAGACAATGTATTTCACGACATACAAAGTTGGAAATTTGAAATAATATTCAACTTCACTTATGAGCGGGAACCCTACACAGCAAAAAGCAATAGGCTGGTTGTGCCTACTAATCACACATGTGCAACTAGGACCTTCTTTTAGGAAACACCAGTACTTTCAAACAATAAAATTATGTATTTCATATTTTCTGAGAAAAATAGGTGTTCAAAAAATACCAATTTTATTGTAAAAATAATTTACAAGACACTTGAAATCGATCAAACTGGTGGATACGATGCAGGAAGGTGAGACATTGGAACAGGGATAGGAGAAGCTTGGGAAAATGAAAAACAAGGGAGGAATTTTGACGTGCAGCTTCCACCCAAGATTCTAAATTATCAGGAAGATCTCCAAAAATAGACTGTTGTAAAAAAGAGCCAGATGTAGGTCTTACAAATAGGAAGGAGGTACACACGGGTGAGACAAAAAGGTGTCCCTGCCAAAGAGATCCCAACAACAAATAAGCCAGGCATGAAGGGATAAAGCTGAGGAAGAGAAGTGCACCAATGTAGAAAAAGAAGGGTACGTGTATCTGCTGAAAATTCCCTCAGAGGAACAATGGATAGCCTCAGAAAGGAAGTGGATGAAAGAGAGATAATAGGTAACACACCTGGGAAATCCTTTTTAAAAAAGCTGAAGGAGGACATGGGAAATCCAGAGGGGGTAGCATGGGGATGGCACAGTAAAGGCTGGAGGTGAGAAAAGGCCATCTAAATCCTCTTTGTCAGGACCAGATTTTCCCAGAAATTGAAGATCTGGTTGAGGTTCCAGGAAATGTAATAGGAGGCAAAATACTTTACACTTTGCAATGCACCAATAGCAAAACATACTCCACGAAAAGTGTGGAGCCCGCACCCACAGTAATAGTAAGTAGTGGTAGATTAGTAGTGGCTGGATCCAAAACAGAGGGCATTGTAGTAACATTACATGGAAATGAAAAGAAATATATTCCAAAAATACCAAGTAAGCAGCAAATAACTGACAACAAAGTAAGAGTTGTCAAACACATTAGAATTAACTGAAAGTGCAGATGAGAATTGTAAGTACAGGGCAAAAATTGAGAAGAACTGCAAACTGGAATGCCATATCGAGAAGCAATGATAATACTCTACAGTATAGAGAGAGTCAACTGCACTAGGAGGGTGTGTCACACTCTTATTGGAGGGGGAGGGTTGTTGCATGCTACAGCACAGCTATACCACAAGAAATTACATGAGGGTAGGTGGGAGCACCAAGGTGAGTGAAAATTGTGTCATGAAAAGGTAAGGTATCGTATTGGAAATGTCAATTATGTGCCTAAAAATGAACTCATATCATCAATTAAGATAAAGCAGAAGTGACTGAGTTATCCAAGAAGTCACAGTATTTCACATACACTATTAAGTTATTATAAAAATTAAGAGTGCACACACATACGTTTAGAATTGTCTAAAAAGTTTTTATATACACAATACTAGCATATATTTGTAGTTACAAAATACTTACCTGCTCTTTTCAGTTCTGGTAACTTCCTGTTAAGCAAAATCCCATTTGTTGTCATTGCGATTGTTTTTAAACCATTTATTTGTTCCAGACGGCCTAGAACACACAGAAGAATAGGGTTTCAGAATGTTTAGGATAATAATGTAGTTACCAGATCATGTAATGTCTTTTTAACTTCATTTGAAGCAAGACACAAGAAAATAATCAACAATCGCTAGAGAATATTTAATACAAGCCATCAGTCAAAAAGTTTGTAGCAAACAATTATTTAAATTTTAAACAAAAATATGCAAGAAATATGTAACATGGAAAGTTGTTCAACCAGTTTCATATTATGCTCTACAATTCCAAATTTTACAAACATTATTGTCTTTATATCTAACTTGTTCAATCACTCTTATCTTTACAAATGTAAACAAATTTTAAAATAAAATTAGGAAGTAGGAATGGGAGCACCAAAAAAGTAGGGAAACAAGGTATGAATGGGTGAGATAACATTACAACACTTGGTGGTTTTTGACACAGTGCCACCTCAATTTTGGTATGGCCATTGTTCTGCCTATTCTGACTTCATGTGCTTTTTTTAAATTGGTAATTGTGCAAATAAAATTAAAGGTGTATATAGTTAAATTTCTCTGTTGTAAACTTTGTTTCAGCAACCAAGTACAAATACATGTATGTAATCAAATTATGTGACCCCTAACAAAATGCATGACATCATAATGGGGGTGTTTTATGTTGGAAGTGAGACAGGAAGCTCCAATAGTCATACTTTGCTTATGGGAAACATTATAGCTATTTGACTGGTAAGGGATGGGCTAAAAGAATAGTATCAAAACTGCTGATTTTTGAAATTTTTAAATTTGTTGAGCATTTAGAAAGGATTAGCTACTGATCAAACTCAATTCAAGTCTATAATTGGATCAATGTTCAAAGTAAAATAAGAAATAGGAATGGGTGGAATGATGGCCACAACCACTTTGAGGTTGCACTGTGTCAAAAACCACCCAGTGTTGTAATATTAACCTGCCCATTCCTACCCTGTTTCCTTACTTTTTGGTGCTCCGATTCCTACTTCCTAATTTTTTTACACTTGTCTCATAGCTTTTTTGGTACTAAGTCTCAGAATGACTGGGCTCTAGGCCTATCATTCTCGTAGCTTTTCTTAGAACTATTTCTCAACCTTCCCTGGCTTTTGTTGATATCTTTGCTATAGTTTTTCTTCTATCTAGCCAAGGTGGCAGCCTTTTTCTTTGGCTGGATTAATGGCTAAGGCTTGTTTCACATATTCAGCATTACTGTTTCTAACCTTATCTCTATACTTGCAGTAATGCTCTCATCACTGGAATAAAGATGGTTATTAACATAAGATTTTCCCCTTTTCTGTCTTTTTGTTTCCATGTAAGGCATATTTTAAAAATCACAGTGATTCAAGTACAAATAGGTCACACTTATTTTGCAAATTATGCAAAGGTAAATTATACAACTTATTGTGGTTGTTTTCAGTCCAGAGCACTCAAGTAAAGTCATGTCAGATATCGGTAGTGGTAGCATTCATTTTCATGTAGGAGACTCATGTCTTAGGCACAGACTGCTCTGATAGAATTGCTTTGTCCAACACAGAAGTCTCGAGTCAGGTGTATAGAACTGAAAACTCCACTTTCTAAGGTTAGATCATAGTTAGAACCTAGATCTAGAGAGTCTACATAGTCAACATTTTTTATCTAACTGATACAGCTGCAAGCTGATCATATAGTACATGTGCATAGGCAATCGTGCACCTGCACGTGATATGAGGGCAGGTTGTCACTTGGCAACTCACAAAGCATGCTTATAATAGCAAAATATGGCTACTAGTGTTTTATTAGCTCATTAGTAGTGTTGGAAAATGGTTATTTTTATTACCTGTTGTTACCAAGGTTATAAGAAAAATGCTTTTATCTAAGGTAACGTAATTCAATCATGTGCATTTAAATTTGCATAAGGTAAAGACAGTGAGAGCTATGCCTTTCCAACATTAGTCAGTCAGTCACATAGACAAATTTATGGTTTCGTGACATTTTGTTTTTAATCTACCGATTTTCTCAAGTGCTTTGGTGGCTTGTTACTCTGCAGTTGGTTTGTTTACTACTCAACATTGTGTGTAAAGTACTTATAAAGTTTTCTTTACATGCTATTGCACATATTGAACATCTGACCCATTCCTACTACAAGTACTACCATACTTATGAAGTATCATATACAGTATTGTATGATTACAGTTCCAGACTTTGTATCTATACTATAATCTTTCATATCTTAAGAAATAGTGTCTGAAAGCCACTTTTATTAGATTCTGTAACTACAGAAATTAACATGCAAGCTTGTTTTAGCAAAATTACATCTTCTACTGAACAGTTAATTTTGATATAATCACCTATAGAACCAAAGTTAGTAACCAATCTATTTTTAACTGTACTTTTTAATGTAAGAAAATATCACTGATCTGAATATCTGGTCCATTTTGGTTTAGCCTAACCATGCTCCTTATGACAGTATATCAGTGGATTATGAAGAATGAAGATTAGTATTTTCACCTTACCATCTCATTCCCAATCAATAAAGAAATTATTTTATTTGGTTGTTTTTTTAAACCAAAATTATATTGTATTTTTAATTAACAAAACAAAATTTATATTTTTATTCAGAAATGCTTTCAGTCAAATTAATTATTGTTTTAGCTCTTAATATACCCACATCTGGACAGTAAGAAATTTCATAACCATATTCAGATAGTCTGAATTTTATACATCTTCTTTAATAAATATTTGACTGCAACTCACCTATTATATCAACAACATCTTTTCTGATGAGAGGTTCTCCTCCTGTAAGCCTTATCTTTTGAACACCTTCTTGTACAAAAAGTTTTGCTAAGGTAATTATTTCATCAGTTGTCAAAAGTCCGCTGTTTGGAGTAAGCTTGACACCATCTTCTGGCATACAGTATTGACCTGTTATGAAAGAGATCACACTAAAGAACAATTAACAAGATAAACAGTGAAATGTATAGTATTTGTTGTTTAAGAACTATTCTCAACTGTAGATATGTGTCAAATCTTTATAAGCAGAACCTGGCAATACTCTAAATTACAGGGATTGAAATATCACATTGCTGTATTCCCAAGGAATTTAACTTTGCTTGAGGAATTTCATCTTTTTAGTTGGCTTTCCCTATCAGGAATGCTTGATCCATCTGTATTCTTTTTAGTTATGACCAATGAAAGTGAACATATTCCATGGATTAAATAAAAAAGACAATTCATGAGGAAATGCAACTTTACATGAGGGAAAGTAATCTTCCAGATAGCTTTCCCTCAAGTGAATGTAATTTTATTTCATTATTTCTATCCCTGGTCTATATATTGATTGATACTATAAATCAACTGTTTGAATGCCCTTCTTAATGAACATCTAAAAAAATTAAAATCTAAAGTCTTACACTTAGTAACATAATGATACACAGGCTCAAAACATACACAAGTTCATTACAGCACCACAATGTTACATAAACATTCAGCTATAGCTAAGTCAGATTTTGTTAAACAAGACCGAT